ACTTACTAACGTAACGTAATAAAGTAAACGTACAAATAACAATTAAAAAGTTAAAGTTTTAAGTTTAGTAAAACTTAACTTAATTAGTATAATACTCGACTTTATTATATATATATATATATATTATATATATATATATATATAAGATTTTAAGTTTAAAAAAGAGTGCATCTTGCAATAAATTATCTAGACTGTCCTTTTTAAAGATTTTTATATGTTTATAGATCTATTCGATTTGAATAATTTTTTAAGTTTACAATTTTAAAAATTTTTTATTCCAAAATCACAGTGTAATGATAAAATTTAGAGGTGCGTCTTAAATGGATTGTAACGATCGTTTTAACGTTCCAACATTATGCAAACCACAACCAAAACTAAAATGGTGCGTCTTTGTACACTTTTCCGATTTAAAATTGGGAAAATTGACCAATCAAGTTCAAATTTGGTAGGTGGGGGTGTCGACCTTCCCTTGTTTACATCGGACGGATTTGGACAATTTCTTACGATACTGTTGGTAATTAAACAGATACTACGGTACAGGGACTTCTAAAAATATCTGAAAATCCAGCCCTTCTCTTATCCACCACTTTGTAGTCAGCCGGCCTCTCTCTCTTTCTAGCTTCACCCTGCATTTTAATGGCGTCTTCCGCCTTTTCTATCTTCCATCCCGCTATCTTACATCATTTCCCTCACCGCAGCACTCAATTTCGAAGGATTCGCAGCTGCAAGCAAAACCCACAACCGGTTTCTTTACGAAAACGTCTTCTGAAACAACAAAACCAAGAAAATAAAGCGATTCCAAAGGCCAAAAATGGCGTGCAGACTCAAAGAAATTCAGAGCAACCTGCTTCTGCTTCTTCTTCTTCAGCAATCGTTAAGAAAACCTCGTGGTATTCTTTCCTGGGAAGAACAGCTGCTGCAGTCTTCGACATTAGGTTTGCATTCTTTCCCGATATTTTTTTCATTTTTTGAAATTGTTCACCATGAGAGAGAGAGAGAGAGAGAGAGAGAGATTGTTTGTGTTTCATTATGAAAACGTAAAATGCAAGTTTGGATAAATTTGTTTGGATTTGTTATCATGAGGTCATGTTTGTGTTTCATTATGAAAACGTAAAATGCAAGTTTGGATAAATTTGTTTGGATTTGTTATCATGAGGTCACAGGAATGCAGCGAGAGAGAGAGAGAGAGAGAGAGAGAGAGAGAGAAGAGAGAGAGAGAGAGAGAGAGAGAGAGAGAGAGAGAGAGAGAGAGAGAGAGAGAGAGAGAGTAGAGAGTAGAGTAGTAGTAGTATAGTAGTAGTACGTAAGTAACGTAGTAGTAGTAGTAGT